ACCAGCTGCTGTAGTAAGGAGGAGAAACTCACACAGTCGTTGTTACTGAGAGCTGAAATGGCACAGAGAGGAGTTCAACTAGACCAAGGCAGCTTGTCTTGTCCCATCTGTCTGGATTTCCTGAAGGATCCTGTGACTATTCCCTGTGGACACAGTTACTGTATGGACTGCATTAAAGACTTTTGGGATGGAGAAAATCAGAGGAAAATCCACAGTCGCCCTCAGTGCAGGAAAGAGTTCATACCAAGGCCTGGTCTGGAGAAAAATGTCATGTTAGCTGCTTTAGTGGAGGATCTGAAGAAGACTGGACTCCAAGCTGCTCCTGCTGATCACTGCTATGCTGGACCTGAAGATGTGGCCTGTGATGTCTGCACTGGGAGGAAGAGGAAAGCTGTCAAGTCCTGTTTATCATGTCCAGCTTCCTACTGTAGGAATCACCTCCAACCTCACTATGATGCTCCACCATTAAAAAGACACAAACTGGTGGATCCTTCAAAGACTCTCCAGGAGAACATCTGCTCTCGTCATGATGAGGTGATGAAGATCTTCTGTCGTACTGATCAGCAGTGTATCTGTTTTCTTTGCACTATGGATGAACATAAAGGCCATGAAACAGTCCCAGCTGCAGCAGAAATGGCTGAGAAGCAGAAGGAGCTCCAGGAGAGTCGACAACAAATCCATCAGAGAATCCAGGACCAAGAGAAAGATGTGAAGCTGCTTCAACAGGAGGTGGAGGCCATCAATGTCTCTGCTGATAAAGCAGTGGAGGACAGTGAGAAGATCTTCACTGAGCTGATCCGTCTCCTCCAGGAAAGAAGCTCTGAGGTGAAGCAGCAGATCAGATCCCAGCAGGAAACTGAAGTGAGTCGAGTCAAAGATGTTCAGGAGAAGCTGGAGCAGGAGATCACTGAGCTGAAGAGGAAAGACGCTGAGCTGGAGCAGCTCTCACACACAGAGGATCACACCCAGTTTCTCCTCAACTACCCCTCACTGCCAGCACTCAGGGAGTCGACACACTCATCCAGCATCAACATCCGTCCTCTGAGACACTTTGAGGACGTGACAGCAGCTGTGTCAGAGCTCAGAGACAAACTACAGGACGTCCTGAGAGACGCATGGAGAAAAA